TTTCTGTACCAGAAAAATATATATCAACCTCTCTCAGGAAAGCAACTAGAGGGCATGAAGAATGAAGACTGAGCTCTTCTCGACAAACAAGCCCTCGGAGTTATTCGACTGACGTTATCCCGCAATGTTGCTTTCAATATAGCAAAGGAAAAGACCACGACAAGTCTTATGGCGACTCTCTCCAGTATATATGAGAAGCCATCGGCCTCAAACAAAGTTCACTTGATGAGGCGATTATTCAATTTGCGGATGTCGGAAGGGGTATCAGTGGCTCAACAACTAAATAAACTCAACACAATCACAACCCAGTTGAGTTCTGTGGAAATTGAATTCGATGATGAAGTTAGAGCTTTAATTCTCTTATCATCTCTACCAAACAGTTGGAATGCTACTATTACAGTAGTCAGCAGCTCTTCGGGAAACATCAAATTAAAATTCGACGATGTTCGAGATCTGGTATTGAGTGAAGAAATTCGACGGAGAGAATCGGGAGAAGCATCAAGCTCCTCAGCCTTGCACACGAAGTCTAGAGGGAGAACTTCAGAAAGAAATTCAAATCGTTGCAGATCGAAATCCAGAAGGCGAAAATCAAGAACGGGAAAGAAAGATTTTACCTGTTATAATTGTGGCAAGAAGGGTCACTTTAAAAGAGATTACCGAGCACTGAAGAAAGATACCGGCGTACAGGAATCTGCCAACATGACAGAAGAGACAGGTGATGCCATGATTCTAAGCGTCAAAAGTCTGATTTAATCATGAATTTTGGATTCAGGGGCATCTTTCCACTCCACCCCATGCCAAGAAATCATGGAGAACTATGTCATTGGTGATTTTGGGAAGGTTCATCTAGCTGATGATGAAACCTAGAAGATCGTCGGAAAAGGAGACATCCGATTAAAGTTGCCAAACTAGACCACCTGGAAGCTGATAGGAGTAAGACATATTCCTGGCCTCAAAAGAAATTTGATTTCAGTAGGACAGCTTGATAGAGAAGGATATAGTATAACCTTTTCAGGCTGTGAATGTAAGATTACCAAAGGAGCACTCGTCATTGCTCGTGGTAAGAAGACTGGTACTCTCTATGTAACCTCAAATTTAGAGAATATCATTGCAGTAGCATATGCTGATAGAAAATCAAACCTATGGCACAAAAGGCTTGACCATATGAGCAAGAAATGGATGAAGACACTTTTGTCAAAAGGGAAGCTGTCGGATCTAAAAAGTGTAGATGTCGGACTACGCGAGGATTGCATCTTTGGCAAACAAAAGAAAGTCAGTTTTGCAAAGATTGACAAGACACCCAAAGCTGAAAAGTTAGAGTTGGTTCATACTGATGTATGGGGACCATCTCCAGTTCCATCCATTGCAGGCTCACTATATTATATCACCTTCATCGATGATTCTACAAGGAAGGGTGAGTTTATTTTCTGAAGAAGAAATCAGAAGTCTTTGATATCTTCAGAAAATGAAAGGCCATGGTGAAAAATGAGACTAGTTTGAAAGTCAAACGGTTGAGGTCTGATAATGGAGGAGAGTACAGAAATAGTAGATTCAGAGATTTCTGTGCAAATAATGGGATCAAGATAGAGATAACAGTTCCCATGACACCGCAGCAGAATGGCGTAGCAGAGCGCATGAACAAAACTCTAAATGAACGTGCCAGAAGTATGAGTATACATGTCGGATTGCCCAAATTGCTATGGGCTGAAGCTATCAACACTGCAACTTACCTGATCAACCGTGGGCCCTCAGTTCCTTTGGATGATGGAATACCAGAGGAAGTTTGAAGCAAGAAAGAAATAAACCTTTCACACTTAAGAGTGTTTGGTTGTATTTCTTATATACACATAAATTATGCTGAAAGAAGCAAACTTGATGCCAAGTCCAACAAATGCATCTTTGTTGGTTATGGTGGTGATGAGTTCGGTTACCGGTTTTGGGACTACGAAAATCGAAAGATCATCAGAAGCAGAGATGTCATTTTCAATGAGAATGTGATGTACAAAGACAGGTCAACCATAGAATCAAGTAGCTCCAATACCGAAGCTGAAACAAAGGAATTTGCTGAGTTCGAGGAGATTTTTGGAAATAATGTTCAAATCAATCCTGAAGCAGTTCAAGAAGAACCAGTTACACCGGAACTAAGACGCTCCTCCAGAATTCCTAAACCAACCCAACGTTATTCGCCTTCTTTGCACTACTTGTTACTGACTGACAATTGTGAACCAAAGTTCTATGATGTAGCAATGCAGGTGGAAGATTCAATCAAGTGAGAGTCTTCCATGAAAGATGAGATAGACTCACTTATGTCAAATCAGACGTGGGAATTAGCTGAATTACCACCAAGCAAGAAAGCTCTCCACAACAAGTGGATTTACAAGATCAAAGAAGAGCACGATGGGAGCAAACGCTACAAAGCAAGATTGGTTGTCAAAGGTTTTCAACAAAAAGAATGTATTGACTACAATGAAATTTTCTCTCCAGTCATGAAACTGTCTACAATCAGGCTGGTGTTGAAAATTGTATCTACAGAGAATCTACATCTTGAGCATTTAGATGTGAAGACAACTTTTCTTCATGGTGATTTTGAGAAAGAAATCTATATGAGGCAGCCAAAAGGCTTCATAAAGGCAGGCAAGAAAAACCTGGTATGCAGGTTGAAGAAGAGCTTGTATGGTTTAAAACAAGCTCCTAAACAGTGGTACAAGAAGTTCGATAGCTTCATGAGTAGCAGTGGTTTTACCAGATGCCAAGCAGATCATTGTTGCTACATCAAGAGGTTCGACAACAGCTTCATTATTTTATTATTGTACGTTGATGACATCCTCGTTGCAGGTTCAGACATGCAAGATGTTAAACCAATAAGTACACCTTTAGGTGTTCATTTTAGACTCTCCAAAGAACATTCACCAAAGACAGAGGAAGAACGTGCACACATGGTAAATGTGACGTATGCCTCATCAATTGGAAGTCTGATGTATACTATGGTTTATACTAGACCAGATATTGCTCATACAGTGAGAGCTGTTAGCAGGTACATGAATAATCTGGGCAAGGTACACTGGGAAGCAGTCAAATGGATCCTTAGATATCTACGGGGTACCACGAACAAAGCACTTTATTTCAATGGTGGAGATATAATACTTACAGGTTATGTAGATGCTGACTTAGCCGAAAATGTTGACATCAGAAGGAGCACTACAGGGTATGTCTATACTTTAGGAGATACTGCAGTGAGTTGGGTTTCTCAACTACAGAAGATAATTTCTCTCTCCACAACTGAAGCAGAATATGTTGCTGTTACAGAAGCCAGCAAGGAGATGGTTTGGCTCCAAAGTTTCTTGGAAGATTTAGGCAAGAAACAAGAAAACAATGTCTTGTATTGCAATAGTCAAAGTGTTATCCATCTAGCAAAGAATCCGTCTTTTCATTCCAGGACGAAGCATATACAATTAAGATATCATTTTATCCGGTCTCTTCTGGAAGATGGGATTTTGAAACTTGAAAAGATTAGTGGAGCTCAAAATCCGACAAACATGTTGACAAAGATGGTGACTACGGACAAACTGAAGTTGTGTTCAACTTCAGTTAGCATGCTAGAGTAAGAAGTCTTGAAAAACTACTGCATTGATCGAGGTGTGAAGACATATTAAAATCAGTCTTCAAGTGGGAGATTGTTGAATATAAAACATGGGCGGCTGGTGGAAAACAAATGCACATGGGGAGGGTGTAAATTTATAAGATTAGTCCTTAAGCTTCAAATATAAATACCTAGCTCATTTAGCTTCAAAAGCATCCCAAATCATTTCTTTCTCCCAATACTAGAGAGTTTTCTTGTGAGTAGTGAGTGTTTTGTAAATACCTATAAATTTTCTCTCTTATTAAAAGATCTGCAGCAGTCCGGAAACGTAGGCATAATTGGCTGAACTCTGTTATCAATTTCGAGTATTATTTTTTCGCTTTTATTTCGCATTCTCACTAATCTGGTTATAGGGAAATTACTTGTACTCGGTTTATTTCCCAACAGAGAAATCATACCAATTCTCGTGTTTCCTGCAAGTCGGTAATAAGATCAAAACATGAGTACAGAAGAAACATGGCAAAATTTAAACTAATACGCAATAATTCATAAATGAAAATGGTTGCAGATGGACTTAGTTGCATTCAAAGTAGAGAAATTAATGTCATTGTATCAGTTTGTTTAGTTGTTAATCCAGCATAATCTAGACTTAACCCCAAATAATACATTTATTTAATTTTCAACATGTAATTGATCATCATTTACTTCTTAGTCATCAACCCTTAACAGTAATAACACAAAAGAACTGAGAGATCAATCCATGTCTGACACATTCAGATAAGAGTATGGGCAAATGACTCTCCAAGGATTTTTTTAATAACAAAAGAACTATGGGGGAAATTTCAACATACCCAAATTTTATACCCGAATTAGTGTAACATAATAACTGCCCATCTTGAAGACAGACTCGGCCTTTTTTCATTATATTATCTAAAATGCAAGTTTCAATCATTCTAATGCTTTCTAGTGGAAGAAAAATTGGTTTGGAAACCATTTTGCCACAAGTTGTGTTTAAAAAAGCAATTTCATTGATCAGTTGAGTACAATATCCCCCAAGGAAGACAAAATCACAATATCAAGACAAGCTTAAGCATCAAAATCGTTTCATTCTAGTTTCTACATAATAATACCACTTAGATGCCAAACAAGGATTCATAAATAAACTGATACATCAGATTAAGAAAACTAACTCATTTTTCAAGTTCTCCCCAGTAAAAAACCTACAATATTCAGGCAAATTCTATTTTCCTAGAGTAATCAGCAACCAGATTTTCAAAAATTCAGATATTGTGGGTTTTCGGAGCTTTATTTATTTATTTAATATGTTAAGATCAATATCACATCAATAACGAGTAATAATACAATAAACCAACAAAGTAACATGAAAAATAAAATTAAAATGGAAAGAATCGAGCTACACCTAACCAGATCCAACAATAATGTTGTTAATGGGGATGAAGATGAGCTTGATGAAAAAACCTACGAATACCATGACCACAAATCCGATCACTGTACGAAACGCCACCTTCGTGAATTCTGAAAAAAAACGAATCTTTCGATCAGAATTCTTATCGATCAATAAAACCCAATAATAGGGAAAAATAGAGAGGAAAAATGAGTAACCTTTTTGATCGGGCTTGTGGCATTTCTTGACAAGACGAACACTATCCTTAGCGAATTCTCTTAGCGGATCAAAAACTGAATCAATTGCGTCCATTTCTTTTGTTCTGGTTTTGCTTTGGTATTGGGAAGAAAGTTCGGAACATTTTAGATCTATAGATGTATTATAAGTGCAAATTCTAAAATGCTTAAACATAAAATAATAGCCTAATCTATAATGTTTTTCATGAATAGGGGTCTATAGTAGGGATTCAAATCGCGGTAGCAATTTCGGTCATGTCGAGTTTACCACGATTGCGGCCATAGCGGGCGCTATTGCGGGTATAGCCGATATATCGAAATGCAGCGCTACCGTTATTTCGCGGGCACTATCGCGGTTGCGTACCGCTATTTAAAACTTTGGTCTATAGTATTTTTTGACTCATTGCAGTACTTAACATTACAAACGTTACCATTTTAGATATTCGGGCCGTCAACGATGTTAATTTCTTCCGTTAAGTAACATGTCACAATAAGGTGATTTTAAATTTTTTATTTTTTAAAAAAATATTGAAAATATTATTATATTTTATAAAAACACTAATTTCTCTTAAATTATAAAAGAGTCTCAAAATCCTTAAAATTCCCAAATTCTAACCTTAACCCATTGTCGTCGCTCTTTCCAGTCACGACCACTGTCGCCGTTGTCCTCCCTATCATCCTCCTAGTCATGTACCACGGTAGTTGTCATCAATTGATCGTCGGAATCACGTTGGACTGTAATTTTTATATTAGAGTTTACGGGGTCTAAAAACATCGGTCTGTCATCAATCGATCACAATTTCATAGGGGGTTTTGGTAGCCGGGGGAGGTAAGGTTAGATGGAGTTTCGTCGAACAAAGGGTAATGACCGATATGGGTTTAGGGGTTGAAATGAAGGTTTTTAAAGTTTTAAGGTTATTTCAAAATTTTATGCTTTTTAATATATATAATTTTAATTTTTTAATTTTAAATAAAATTTTAAAATTATTGGATTGTAACACGTGTCACTTAACAGGAGAAATTAACACCGTTGACGGCCTGAGCACCTAAATTGGTAACGTTTGCAACTTTAGACACCTATTCATAAAAAATAATATAGTTTGGGTACTTATTTTATATTTAAGCCATTCTAAAAGGGTAAAGTATACAAATGGTCCCTTGACTATGGGATGCTATTTTGTGGAGTCAATCGACTATAGAAAGTTACAAAATGGTCATCCGACTATAGGATGTTACTTTATTGAGTCTTTCAACTATTAATAATTATAAAATAGTCACTTGACTATTCATTATGTTTCAAATTCATCATTTTCAATTAAAAATTTGATGATAATCCGAGTTGTATATTAATATGTTGCCTGAGATATAATAAAATCTGATCACATAATCTCAAATGACTATCATATATCAGACAACAAATTAACATCAAACTCAAATTGCTGTCATTTTTTAACAGAAAAAGACAAGTTTGGAATATAATGAATAATTGGGTGATAATTTTGTAACTTTTAATAGTCGAGAGACTCAACAAAACAACATCCTATAGAAAAATGATCATTTTGTAACTTTTGATAGTTGAGAGACTCCACAAAGTAACACCCTATAGTCGAGGGACCATATGTATACTTTACCAAAAAAATATATGGGTGAACTTTTCAAATACTCTTTAAATTATGAGGAATAATTTATTTTGACAGTTAAGCTAAATTTGTTTCTTGAATTAAACTATTAAAATGCTATCAATCAAGTAAGTGACGATTAACATCTAATGGAAATGGTAATATGATAGTTAAGTAAATTTTTATAATTATATTTTGGTAAACTATACATTTAATTTCTAAACTATTAATTTTGGTTCGTTTTAGTACCTAAACTTTCAATTTTTTTCAAAATCTTACTTGATGTTTAGTTTTTGTTTCATTTTAGTATCCGTCATTAAAACTTTAAGGTTTTTAGTACCTAAACTATCAGTTTTGGACTATTTTAGTAACTTAACTTTCATTTCCCCCCAAAATTTGATGTTAAGTTTTTAAGAGGGTACTAAAATGAAATAAAAACTAAACGTTAAGTATAGTTTTGAAAAAAATTAAAAGTGTAACACCCTAATCCGATCCGACCCGAAGTCTGGAGGATTTGAATGTCACCTGGAACCACTGAAGTGGCTAATCTTTTTTTCATTTAAAATATCATATATTTTTTAAAAGACATCAATAATAGTAATAAAATCCTTTCTATAAATCGGAGCTCCATGACACAGTTTAAAACATCATATAATACATAAGAGTCCTATGAATACACATGCCCACTACAAGTAACCAATCAATACTCTGTGAGGAATGCTGGAAATTCTGCTACAATGGTGCTCATTGAATGACTCAATATACTAACATGTAAACGGAAATATACGAACACTGAGCTTATAAAGTCTAGTAGTATAGTCGCTAATCTAGAACATCATATAAATCTCATAAACTATTGAGTTAATCGATTGACGGAATCAGCCAAGAGGGGGGGTGAATTGGCAATTAAAATTTTATGGAAGCTTTTGCAGAAAATTGAAAGTGATTGCACAGCGATTTAGAGTGGTTCGACTTTATCAACCAAAGTCTACGTCCACTACCTTAGCTATCTACACTAAGGATTTTCCAACAAATTCACTAATTTGTTCTTTCTTTTGAGGCCAAAGAGATAACCTTACAACTCCCTCAAGAATATACCCCAATTCTTGATAACACTCTTTTCTCAAAGAGAATATTACAAATTTGCAAACTTACAAGAAAAACCTCACAAGGAAAATATGTTTACACAATTCTAGAACAAATAGTGAACACTCAAGAATAAATACAATTGAGCACAATAAGTGTTCTTGAAAGTAAAATGAATATTGAATGAAAAATAGGCTTGAAATGCTCAAACTTGAGGTTTGATGCTTTCTCTTTTGATTCTCTCTTGATTCTAGTTGCTTGATGTTTCTTGTTATTGATCAATGGCTTCTAAGCTTGCTTAAATACACCTTGAATCACTTCTGAACGTTAGGGATCATTAATGAAGTTATTGGAGCCGTTTAAGTGTGAAAACAATTAATATTTCTGCTTGGAGCGTGGGGGGAATCGGTACCCCTCATGGGGAATTGGTTCCCTAAGTGTAATATTCAAATATTTCGACCGTTGAACAGTGGGGAAATCGGTACCCCTGGGGGGGAATCGGTTCCCTCCGAGCATACTGGAATTCTCGGAGCCAAACCTATTCAGGGGGAATCGGTTCCCTCTGAGCAATCTGGAATTTTTGGCTTTGAAATGGTTCGAAATATTTTGTAAAATCGTTTTGAATTATTTTAAGATTAAAACTTAATTTTACACTTGAGTAAGGATTTAAAATGAACTTTGAAATACTTTGAGTAATATTTTGATATTCGATTTAATATATCGAATATGCTTAGAAAAATCATTTTCAAAATTAAAATTCTTTTAATTTAATTTGTTATATCGAAACAACAAAATGTTTTCAACAATCTCCCCCTTTTTGATATAACAAAACATTTTAAGATTTTCTAATTTCAAAATGAATTTTGATTTTGAAAAATACTACTCCCCCTTACTTTAACACTACTCCTCTTCAAAAACGCTTTTAACGTTTCTCCCCCTTTTTGTTAAATCAAAAAGACTCGTAAAAGATTTTAAACAAGGTTTTGAAATCATTTAGCCAATTGATTATATATATAAACATAAGCTGCTAAGAACACAATCAAAAGAGAGGTTAGCCATTAGTTTCATAATCAATATTCATAAACATGTAATGGATAATTGGTCATATATGTCTAAAGATGCAAAATAAACACGAAATCCAAACCAAATGTATTAAACATAAGTTCGAACAACAAAAAATAAACAATCCAAAAACATTCAAAATGTTTTAACAATAAGTTCAATCCAAACAAGCAAAGCAAAGATCAAAGTTCAAGCATCCGTAGGAGGATTGGGAGGTGGGAAATAAGCTCGCATAGCTGCCATTTCATGAGTGAGTTCATTAATACGAGCGTTGGTTGCTTCATTATTTGCACGCATCTCCCAGAGAATTTCCAATTGTTGAGCTTCCATAGTCGAGAAGTGAGATTCTATGGAAGTGAAGCGAGAATCCAAGGATGCATAACGGAAATCAAATGTCTCTATAAATGATTGAAAATATGGAGGCACATGATCTTCTTGCTGAGGTTGTTCCTCGTGTTGTTCCGGCTCATCGTCGGCTTCGTCAATATCTTGCATTAATTGTTCAAGCTCGGGATCGTCGTCAGCTTCTGGTGGAGCTTGAGAAGAGCTAGCTCCCGGGGTATTTTCAGAAGATCGAACCCATTCACCAGTGTCCTTATTCTTTATCCATCCCGCTCTCGTTAAGGAAAGAAGATTAATTTGTTTCTTGAGAGGAAAGACGACATCTAGACCTACTCTAAGCCATGCTTTAGAAAATAGATTACTCAGAATGAAACCGTAAACTAGAGATGAACAGAGTTTCTTATTAGGAACAAGATTTACGGTTTCAACAATTTCAGCAAAAATAATCTGAGATAGGTTTATTTTAATATTGTTTTGGAAACAATGTAACCACTAAAGATCTAAAGCACGAAGAGTAGAGTAACGACCTCCGGATGGTCGAAACCACCAAGAAATCATTAGATGAAGAAAACGATCATGAAGATCTAAGACACTCGCACTATCCCTTCTTTTATAACGAGAACCTAAAAACTGTTTTTCATTTGATATACCATCATTATCTAATCCCAATTCATTAGCTATGTAAGCCGAGTCAAGATGGATGAATTGTCCTAGGAGATAGAAACGAAATGCTATGGTTTTGGTTTGAGCTTGGTTTTTAATACAAACGGCATTAGAATAGAATATACGAACAAGTTGATGGTAAACTATAGGTTCAAGATCACAAAGTTTATCAAATTTCCACTCTTGCAAAAGAGAAAGACATCTAAAATCGATATCTATCATAGATTGACGAGAAAGAATACGTTATTCTCTAATTTTGTAAGAGTCAAAATATTGATAATACCAAAAACGATGATTTCTAGGACCAGGATGATTGAAGCACGAGTTTTGGATAGTCATATTA